TTGTCGATTAAATATTCAATAATTGCTGGTTTGTTGTACTCATCACTGGTATGTCTACCCAATTCTTTGCAATCATTTTCACCCCAACTATATATTTGTTGATCACTTGTTATACATAATGCAAAAACATCACCAATAATAAATTTATCGACATTTTTGTCGCACAACTCAGGTATTACTTGTAGTTTATTAATTTCATTGTTGTGACCCAAACCAAGTAGACCAAAACAGTTATAACCCAATGTATAGACTCGATCATCGTTTGTCACAAACCATACATTATTGTAATCACAATGAAATAGTTTTATTTCATATTTAATATAATTTGGTATTTTTTCATACAAATCAAATTTATTCAACAAATTATCAATAGCAGACATTTTCTTTTTTTATTTTAAAAACTCTCCATTTTTACATACATTATATTAATAAATATTAATACATAATAAAATTTTTTTATTTCTTTATAACAAATTATAACCATGGTTATTATCACATTACTAATAGTTATCAATATAGGAAAAAATATAAACTGTCAAAATAATCACATACTCTATAATAACAATAGATTAAACTATATATATAGTAATCGTAAATTTTATAGATAATAAAAATATTATTTCTTTATTATTTTATTTAACATTTATTACAAGTTTTATATAATCACTACTATCTGGAAATACCAGGATATTGTTACCATCTTTTGGACTCTAATCCAAACACATTTAAAAATAGTTAAAAAATTATTAACATTAAGTGATTTAATATTGTTAAATATTTTTTAATTTAATAGTTTTAATATGTAATAAACTGTTAATCGTAGGCTATTGAATGGCTAGCGATATCTGCATATATGACAGTCCAATGTCATAGACTGTCCATTTTGGACACAAATCCTACGTTTTAAGTGAATCATTGAAAATACTTAGTTCACTGAAGCAGTGCTTCTCCAGCTAACTGTAGACAAACCTATTGGTCATCATTCAGACAATGTTGACCTACATATTGACTACCTGAGCTGTACTATGCATTTGAGTCATATTTTTGAGATTGTATGGACACATATAATAATAGTATTTAATACATTATGAAAATATTATTTTTATAATGAAATAAATTTATTATGATTTATTATAATTTAATATTATTATTTTTTAAAAAAATTAACAATTTTAACGAGAAAATTATCGTTCTTGTTATCGGAGCTATAAAAATGTAAATAAAATATTATAAATAATTAAATGAAACTATTTTTTTTATTTAAAAATATTTACCTAAATTTTATTTGGAAATAATTTTTTAGAAATTCTTGATCACTTAAAGTGTTAACAATTTGTTGATAATTTTGCGTATTTTTCATTAAATACGTGTTTGTTATCATCCATTGGTCACTATTGGTAATAATGTGCGAACACGTGGGTCGAGTTGAATATACCGGTTGTAACATTGATGTCAATAATGTATTTATTTTTAATAAATACTTATAATAAACAACATTTCTATTTTTATCAAAATCACTTTAAAAAAATTAAAAATTTGTTTAGTTAAATTATATTTTTTTTTTAAAAAAAAGTTAATAATTAAAATATATTCATACTTCCAGTTAATATCAAACAATTCATGACCGATAATACCTAAGCTATAGATATCACTTTTTTCATTATACTGTCCGCTATAAGCTTCTGGTGCTGTATATCGTTGACTACCTATACGTGATGTATACAGTTGTGAATGTGTATCAGTTTGTGTGTGATCTGTAGTCAAACCAATGTCACATAATTTCAAAAACCGATTATCAATCGGGTTATCATTGATGAGTATATTTGCCGGTTTGAGATCGCGATGAATAACCGGTGGTTGTCTTGTATGCAGATATTCAACGCATTCACACAATTCAAGCATCAGATGACTCGTAATGTAATACTCGATTGAATTCATCGATTCATTTGATTTTCGTTGAAATATATTTGCTTTAATTTTTAAAATATTTTCAAGACTTTGTGAACATAACTCCATTTGAATGTAAAATATATTGGATTCAAACCACGCGTCAAAACATTTGATCACAAATTTTGACTGAAGTTTTAACAATTGTTTAATTTCTTTTGCGATTTTGTTTATCCGATTGTCATCTAATAAATAAAAAAATTTTAATTTTATATAAATTAAAATTTATATAATTTATTTCATTAAAATGGTAATTACCTTCAAATATAATCTGTTTTATAGCAAACAATTTATTAGTTTCTTTATCATCAACTCTATAAACAGTACCAAAACCTCCCGTTCCTATAATAGCTAATTGATTGAATTGATTTGAATAATAGTTGTCATATTTTTCATATATTTTCAGATAACTAATTATATATGAATTTATATCAATAGTTTCATATGTTTTTTGTAGTTTATCGCCAATTAGGTCCATAAAACATTTTGCATAACATTTTTTAGTATTATATGTTTCTTGAAAATATTTGATTTCGTAATAGTTATTAGAATTTCTAATATAATTATTTAGTATATCATCGACTAATATAACATTTAGTTTATTTGGTTTATCATATAAATTATTGAATGATTTTCCGCATTGATATACATAACCATCAGTTGTTAGAAAATATATTAATTCATTATTCATATCGTAATAATGTGTTATTGATTTAATATTCATTAAGTCATCAATCAGTTTAGGTGTATAATAATTATTATGATTTTGATGTCCCAATTGATTGTCTTCATTATGACCCCAACTGTAAACGAGTCCATCATTTGATGTTATGGCAAATGAACACCAATTATGACAATAAATTGATTTAATTACAGTATTTGTTGGAAATATAATACGTGTTGGACTATCGATGCAATTAGTTTGTTGTCCGCAACCTGACTGTCCCTCACTGTTATCACCCCATCCATAGACAATGCCATCACTGGTCAGAGCCAGTGAATAATGTAAACCACACTTGATATCAATAATACATTTGTCGCTTAAATCATCAATAATTGCCGGTTTGTTGTACTGATCATCACTGCTGATGGTATGTCTACCTAATTGTTTGAATCCATTCCAACCCCAGCTATATATTTGTTGATCACTTGTTATACAGAATCCACAACCAAATCCTATAATAAATTTTTGGACATTTTTCTGACATAATTCAGGTATAACTTGTGGTTCATTGTTGACATCATTGTTGTGACCCAAACCAAGTATAGCCCACAAGTTATTACCCAATGTATAGACTCGATCATCATTTGCGACAAACCATACACTATTGCGGTCGCAATGAAATAATTTTATATTATTTTTTAAATTATTTGGTATATTCTTATACAATGGAAATTTAGTCAACAAACTATCAATAGCAGACATTTTTATTATTATTATTATTAATAATAATTTTTTTATACATTACATTAATAATAAATATTAATACAAAATAAAAATGTCTTTTTTTTAATTGTTATAACAAACCAGTATTAAAAGTGTGGATATAGATAGCATAGGTGTGGTTCACATATTACGTTCGGACTTTTTAAAAAAATCTAGACCCCCTCTCTCCCCTATGTTCGCAATTGTTCGCATGTCCATAACAGCTACCCTCCCCTATTATTATTATATAGTATAAAATACAAAATAAGTATAAATTTTTTGTCTAAATTGATAACTATAATTTATGTAATAATAACCATGGTGAATTTGTTACAGAGTATTAAAACTGTAGATATAGATAGTGTATGCATTTGGTGATAGTATTGGGTTAAACAATGGTAATCAATGATTTTGTTTATAGTAAATATCTAGTAAACCATACATTATATTTAATAAAAAGCATCAAGGTTGAAATTGTAGATACTGTTAAACTCAACATTATTGTAATTTCAAAAAATTAACTAGATATGTCAATTATAGTATACTATGTCGATGCTATTATCTAGTTAATTTTTACAATTAATTTTTAAAAAAATAATCAATTACAATAATTTTCATAGTTTAATATTATCTACAATTTTGTCCTTGGTGATTTTTATTAAATATAATGTATTTGGTTACTAGATATTTACTATAAACTAATCATTGATTAGCTGTTTAACCAAATACTATCCACAAAAAAAATGCATACACTATCTGTATCGACACTTTTAATACTATTTAATAAAAATTCACCATGGTTATTATTACATAAATAATAGTCTAATCAATTTAGACAAAAAACTATACACTTATTTTGTATTTCATACTATATAATACTGTTAATAATAGTTTAAATATAACAAATCCTATTTAATAGATAATGAAAAAAATATTATTTCTATTTTTTGTTTGTTTGTTTAATTATTTAACATTTATTACAAGTAATATAAATATATATATATATTATAAACATTGAGTTTATTGTTTTAAATAGATTTATAATTTTTTTTTATAAAACAGTTTAGATTAAGATAGTAATAATATAATACTAGAAAAATATATTTTTATTTTTTGTAATATTATATTTACAATAACTTTATTTATTAAGTAATTTTTGTTTAATACTGTACTTTAATTATTTAATGTATTAAAATTAAATAATACACTAAATGTTAAAAAAAATTGTTTAATGCACATGTTACATTATTATTTTTATTATCATTATTATTATTAAATTTAATAAATATATATATATACAAAATATAATTAAAAAATATTTTCGATTGTTAAAATAATAATTATTATTATTAAATAAAAAATTATTTATTTTAGTATAATGTTAAACATTTTTGTTATTATTATTTTATAATGGGGTCATTCAAATGTAAAACTTTATTATATTTTTAATTTCGTTAAAAAAAATATAAAACTATTTAACTGTTTAAATATTATTTTTATTTAATTTTGTTTATACAGTAAAAAAATAATAATAATAATGTTTAAATTAATAAATCTATTATTACTACAAAAATATTTTATTATAAAAATAATAATAATAATAATAATAACAATATGTATGTCAAGTATGTCTGGGATGTCATCAACAGTTGATGTATTGCCGACAGTATTACTAACACTACACGGAAAGGACGAAACGGCAACTATTGGCCAGACATACGATTTTGTTAACCGATTGAATACATACCTGAAAAACCAGTCAATCAATTATATCAAAGTCATTAACTTGGGTTTTAGTCAAACAGGTCTAATGGACTATAAGTGGACATCGTTTCGGTCGATGAGCCAACAATCGGGACAACTGTGCCGACAGATACATAAGCCCCAGATATGGCAACAGTTAATGAATACAACACTGAGTAGGCGTATAGTTTTGGTAGGGTTTTCGCAGGGAGGCCTACTATGGCGCGGTATGCTATGGGGTCAGTGTTTGGATCCATTGCTACCCCGATTGGATCGCCTGATAACGTTTGGTAGTCCACACTCGGGTGTATTCATACTAAACAATTGCCAACAAATGATGACCCTATCGATGGCTAAACCGTTGGCCAAATTGTGCCAAACTATGCTTGAAATTGTTAGCTTAGATACTACTACTACTAACCGGACGGTTATTAAACGCCGATTACCGCCCCGGGGATCACTGTCCGATTTGTTTGTCTACAATAAACTAGCCGAACAATCATGGCCAGTGGCCAGCTATTGGAATGATCCATTAAGTAGTAGACAACCCCTGACATGGTTGGCCCAAATAGACAATCAAATCAATCAAATGGACGGTCGACTACTACCAGCAACAGTAGCCAACAAATACCTGTCCAATAAACTGAGTCGCGGTCTGGCATTGATAGCATTTGGCGCTGAAAATATAGTCTATCCGCCGGTTAGCTCGCAGTTTGGCTATTGGGACGGTTGGGCTAGAAATTGGCTAACATTTAATAAGACTAAACTCTATACGGATGATTGGATTGGACTAAAACAATTGGATTTAAATGGCCTAGTTCAATTATATACAATTGCTAATCAAACCCATATGTCTATACCGGATGATTTTATTTATGATAAATTTTTACAATTTTTATAAACATTTTGTTTGTTTTTGTTTTAATAGTATTTATTATTATGAATTACAAGTAAATAATAAAATAAATATTATATAATATATAAAAGTTTTCACTGTTAAAAAAACCTAAAAAACATATTTATTTATCAAATATTAAAATAGTTTAAACTAAATAATAGTATAATAAATAGATAATGCAATATCTATTTAGCCTTTAATAACCAAATAATAAATACAATTTTCAGTTAAATTATCAATATATAAATTAATAGATATTAATAAAAATAAATCGTTAATTAATATCTATTACTTTTATATACTTTATATTACTATTTAATAAAGTATATATTATGTATAAAAGTATATAAAATAAATAATTTTTAAAAAAATATTTATTTATCATTAATAATATAATTAGAATTTTAATTATAATAAGTTTTAATAAAATATATTAATAATTAATAGTGACCGATGATATCTAAGCTATAGATATCACGTTTTTCATTATAATTTTCACTGTAGGCTTCAAATGGCATATATTTATTTGTACCCAACTTTGATGTATGACTTTCTGATTGTGTATCAGTTCTCCGGTGATCTGTTGTCAAACCAAAGTCACATAATTTCAAAAACCGATTACCAATTGGTTTATCATTGATGAGTATATTTGCGGGTTTGAGATCGCGATGAATAACCGGTGGTTGTCTTGTATGCAGATATTCAACGCATTCACACAATTCAAGCATCAGATGACTAGTAATGTAATACACGATTCAATTCATTCTTAAAAATCGTAAAATTTTGCTTAAATATATAAACTTATTAAATAATTAATCTTCATATTAATACAATTAAAAATTGTTTAGTATTAAAATAATAAGAAACGAAATTTTTTTATTATTTTATAATAATTTTATTTATTTATTTAAAAATTTTTATTAACCAAATTAACCTTTCTTGACGTCTAAGCTGTAAGAAAATTAGTATTTAAAAAATACATATTTTAAAACAATTAAATAACTATTTGAAAAAAACAAAAATATTTTTTACCTAAATTTTATTTCTAAATAATTTTTTAGAAAATCATTGTCACTAATAGTTTCACAAATTTGTTGATAATTTGGTGTATTTTTCATAACAAATGACTTTGTTATCAACCATTGGTCACTAATCTCAATAATGTCCGAACACGTGGGTCGGTTTATATATACCGGATTCAACATTGATGTCAACAAATTGTATATTTTAGTTAAATATTTAAGATATACAACTTTATTATCATAATCTGAACTATTTATAAAATAAATTTATATAAAAATTGATTAAAAATATATATATATAAATATAAATATATATAACTTACTTTAAATGTAAATCAAACAATTCCTGGCAAATAATACCCAAACTATAGATATCACGTTTTTCATTATACTGTCCGCTATAAGCTTCTGGTGATGTATATCGTTGACTACCTATTCTTGATGTATGACTTTCCGATTGGGTATCAGTTCTCCAGTGATCTGTTGTCAAACCAAAGTCACATAATTTCAAAAACCGATTACCAATTGGTTTATCATTAATGAGTATATTTGCGGGTTTGAGATCGCGATGAATAACCGGTGGTTGTCTTGTATGCAGATATTCAACGCATTCACACAATTCAAACATCAGATGACTAGTAATGTAAACTTCAATACAATTCATCGGTTCATTTGATTGTCTTTGAAATAAATTTGATTTGATTTCAATTAATTTTTTAAGACTATGTGAAGATAACTCCATTTGAATGTAGAAAATATTGGACTCAAACCACGCGTAATAACATTTAACTACAAATTTTGACTGAAGTTTTAACAATTGATTGATTTCTTTTATAATATTAAAATCCTTAGTATTCTTATCTATTAAGTGTATAATTAATATTAAATTTTAATTTAAGTTTTTAATATATATATATATTATATATTATATATTATATATTATATATTATATATTATATATTATATATTATATATTATATATTATATATTATATTATATATATATATATATATATATATATATATATATATATAAAGTATAAACTGTTACATACATTCTAAAGTAATTTGTTTTACAGCAAATAATTCATTAGTTTCTCTGTCATCAACTTTATAGACTTTGCCAAAACCTCCCGTTCCTATTATGTCTAATTGATTAAAACAATTCATATAAAAATTGTTATATTTTTCATTGATTTTTAAATATTGATTTATATATAAATCTAAATCAATTGTTTCATATGTTTTATGCAAATTATAAGCAAATAAATCGATAAAATCTTTAGCATAACATTTTTGTAAATCAATATCTTGTTTGTCATAAATAATTTTATAATAATTATAACCAATATTAATATAATTATTATTTATACTATCGACTGATAAAACATTAAGTTTTATTGGCATATCATATGCTATATCGTCAGCACTACCGCATTGATAAACATAACCATCATTTGTTAGAAAATATGTTAATTTAATATCATTATAATCATAGTTATGTGATATTGATTTAATATTTATTAAACCATCAATTAGTTTAGGTGTAGAATAATTATCGATATTTTTATGTCCCAATTGATTATCACGATTCTGACCCCAACTGTATACGAGTCCATCATTAGTTGTTATGGCAAATGAACAACAATTGTATGAATAAATTGATTTAATTGAAGTATTTCCGGGAAATATAATACGTGTTGGACTATCAATACAATCAGTTTGTTGTCGGCAACAACCACACTGTCCTTCATTGTTATCACCCCATCCATAGACAGTGCCAGCATTGGTCAGCGCTAGTGTATGATAATCACCGCACATGATATCAGTAATACATTTCAAGTTAATTATTGCTGGTTTATTACATTCATCATCACTGATGGTATGTCTACCCAATTGTTTCCAATCATTTGAACCCCAGCTATATATATGTTGATCGGATGTCATACACAATGCAAAATCAATTCCTATAGAAAATTTGCTAACATTTTTCTGACACAATTCAGGTATAACTTGTGGTTCATTGACATCACTGTTGTTGTTGTTGTTGTTGTTGTGACCCAAACCAAGTATACCTTTCCAGTTATAACCTAATGTATAGACTCGATCATCATTTGTCACAAACCATACACTTTGGCCGTTACAATGAAATAGTTTTATCTTATATTTTATATAATTTGGTATTTTCTCACAAAATTGAAATTTATTTAACAAAAACTCACTGTTTGACATGTTTTTTTTTTAAAATAATGAAAAATAAATATGGCTGCAAACAATTTATTTATTATATAATAATTTACCATGGTTATTATCTAAATGTAATGTTTATTACATAGCAATTTATGATACAGTATAATAATTTACAAATAAATAATGTTTAATATTATATTAGATATAAACTATTTTTTATAAACTTATTTTTTTTGCGACAAAATTAGATTGCTAATAATTTTTTATTATTTTTTAATAAATATTAATAGTTATTTTTAATTATTGTACAGTAATTATACAGTACAGTAATACTATACAACAATAAAAAATAATTTATTTAATATACATTTATTAATTGGCAAATTAATTTTATTTATTAAAAATTTATGATACTATCTATTAAGTTATAAATATTAAGTTATAAAATCTATATTATTTATTAATAATTCAAACAAAAATAAAATTTCTAATTATAATTGATTAAATTATTTTAGTAAAAAATTAACATTATTAAAATTAAAAAAAAAATTAATCAAATTTAAATAAAAAAATGTTAATTTTTTTTGATGATATAATATATCACACTTAAAATGCAACAATAGTTAAATCAGATATTGTTATTGTTATAAAACTACCCGTTTTGGGCATACAATAGCAATTAGCTAAATAGGTTCTGAAAGCAAACACGTGCCACGTGTTACTGTTATCGGACACACGTTTGGACAGCTGTTTGCTAATCAATTTGACTAATTGTGTTAAACTGGTCGACGATTTGATCCCTTGAAGTACAACCTGTTTGACAATCGCTACGTATTGGTCGCACATATCACGGCGTTCAACGACCAGTTCAGCCCCGAGTTTACCGCTATTCAATAGGTTTGCTATCTTTTTGATGTTTATCTTAATATTTTTTAGCAAAAAAAATAATTAATTAATTAATTGTTGAAATCAATAGTTTATAAAACAAAAAAAATTGAGAAAAAAATATTATTATTATTTTAATGGTGAAGAAAAATTTAAAGAAATTTATTTGGGAACCAATTATCTACAGGAAAGTTACTCTAATGTGACTATATGTATATATGTTAGACTAAATTTCCGATAAACCAAACTAAAACACTATAAAATATTTTAAATAATAACCGGAACCGAAAAATAGGGTGTATTTTAGTTTGGTTTTTAATTCTAGTTTCTACATATAGTATATTATGTAAACTTTTTTCCATAGATAATGTATAACCGAATAAATTTCCTTAAATTTTATTTTATTTTATTTTTTTATTAGTTAACTATTGAGTTAAAATATACTATATATTTATATAATTATTATAATAGATACTATGCTAATGTTATGTAGTATATAACAGTATATAAATTTATATATAATACTAATACTAACATCATCGTAAACTTTATGGACAGTTAGCTTTAATTTGCCCCCATATTGTATGATCACAATAAACTGGTCATCGTATGTAAATGAATGGCTACCTATATCAGCGTATAGGACTGTACAGTGCCATAGACCGTCCATTTCCGACTCAACCCCACGTTTGATTGCGTGACATAAATCATTGAAACTAAGTTCACTTAGCACGGCTTCTCCATCTAACTGGACTATCCTAGTGGTCATCTCAGGTACGGTTGACCGGCTATTGACTACCGGTGCGGTGCTATGGAGTCGGGCCTTACATATAATTTGATAGTCGGTTATTTTGATATAATAATTATTTTTTTTTATAGATAACTATTACATACTTTTATATCATTAGCATATATTATTAGTAACTATTGTATAATTGAATATAATTAAAAAATATATTAATTAATATTAATTTTTATCATTACAGTGTCATAGCATTGATTTCGATGAATGAGATAATGATTTCGATTTAAGTGACAATGAATTCGATTACGAGATAAACAATTCGATGACTGATATATTGAATTCGATTAATATGTTTATTGTATTATATTATTGGTTTACATTATATTTTAGATTTAATGCAAACTTTAACATTGTTTTACAGTTCTATGTATATTCTATGCAAATATCGAATTCAATATATCAGTCATCGAATTGTTTATCTCGTAATCGAATTCATTGTCACTTAAATCGAAATCATTATCTCATTCATCGAAATCAATGCTATGACACTGTATTATTAATAATTAATTACCTGGGTGGTTGTGTTAGGCCATTTGGTTTTAATTTTTTCATATAATACGATAAGGTATTAGTTATGCTCAGCAAATCGGTGATACAAATTTTAGAAAAATGTTTGACGACAACAAACGGCAACTACCGGTTCCCGAAATATACCGAAACATATACTACAGGTTAGTTCACATTTTTTCAATGGGGGGTTAACTCTAGAAAACTGCTCAAACTGTAACCGGTCATTATTAGTATAATTATTATTATTTAGCTAGCTAACATATTATTTGTTTTTAATAATAATACTGATACTGAATTATAAATTATTAAATTAAAAATTATAACTCTATTTAATACAATAAACTCAATATCTATAATATATTTTTAAAACATAAAACTAAATGCCTTATAAATAAAATAATATTTATGTATTATTTAATAAAAAAAAATATACATATCAATAAAATAAAATTTATAATATATTAGTTATAAATATTAGTTAGTTTTTATAATAATTAATTAGTTTTGTAAAATTTAAACAAAAAACATATTTGTTTTATTTTACACATAATTTATTTGCCATTTTTAAAATTCAACTAAAATATTAATAACAACTTTCAGTAGTTTTTTTTACATTTTTATAATAATAATAATAATTACAATTTGGTCTTAGGATGGCATTGAAATTATTGACCATGGTCAATATAATAACATTGATGGCAACAATTGGCGCATTGATAGCAACAGTACTAATGATAAAAGACCATTTATTGAATGGCAATTTATTAATTTAAACTATTTTATCTATTAGATTATTACTATAAAATAATATTAGTTTTCTCAAAACTAATAGTTTAATATTTTATTGTGTGTTAATTATTTTAAAAGGCTTCTCCAGCTAACTGGACTATCCTAGTGGTCATCTCAGGTACGGTTGACCGGCTATTGACTACCGGAGCCGTACTATGGAGTCGGGCTTCACATATAATCTGATAGTCGGTTAACTATATAAAAAAATTTAATAAAAAAATTTGTTATAAATGATAATAATTATGGATATAATTATTATTGATATACTAATTATTAATATACTAATTATTGATATAATAATTATTATTATTATAGATAATTATTACATACTTTTATATCATTTGTTAATTTAATTAAATCACAATTTGTATTATCATTATTATTATTATAAGTATTAGTATTATTATTCATATTAGTCGATAGCCTATGAATTGTATTCATAAGTAATTGTTTTTCTTTTTTACAATCAATTAGTTGTTGTCTTATTAGTTGATTATCGCCGGCAATGGTCTGTATGTCATCTCTGAGCCCATGGTTTACATTCAGCAAACTGTCCACACAATTATGATTATTATTATTATTGTATGTAATAATATTTGTATGATATTTACGGCATGTAATGATATTATATGGACATAGCTGTATGTGCTGGTCGTATGCATCCAATTGTAGCACCTGATGACATCCCTGTGCTCTGTAGGCATATATCAGCTTCAAGTTAGACAACATGTTTATCATTTGGTTTTAATTTTTTCCTATCATACGGACAGGTATTAGTTTTACTTAACCAAACGGCGATACAATTTTGGCAAAATGTTTGACGACAACAAACGGCAACTACCGGTTCCCGAAATATACCGAAACATATACTACAGGTTAGTTCACATTTTTTCACTGGGGGGTTAACTCTAGAAAACTGCTCAAACTGTAACCGGGCACTATTATTATTATTATTATTATTTAGCTAGCTAATATATTATTATTTTTAATAATAATACTGATACTGAATTATAAATTATTAAATTTAAAATTATAACTCTATTTAATACAATAAACTCAATATATCTATAATATATTTTTAAAACATAAAACTAAATGTCTTATAAATAAAATAATATTTATGTATTATTTAATAAAAAAAAATATACATATCAATAAAATAAAATTTATAATATATTAGTTATAAATATTAGTTAGTTTTTATAATAATTAATTAGTTTTGTAAAATTTAAACAAAAAACATATTTGTTTTTTTTACACATAATTTGTTTGCCATTTTTAAAATTTAACTAAAATATTAATAACAAATTTTTAGTAGTTTTTTAACATTTTTTATAATAATAATAATAATTACAATTTGGTCTTAGGATGGCATTGAAATTATTGACCATGGTCAATATAATAACATTGATGGCAACAATTGGCGCATTGATAGCAACAGTACTAATGATAAAAGACCATTTATTGAATGGCAATTTATTAATTTAAACTATTTTATCTATTAGATTATTACTATAAAATAATATTAGTTTTCTCAAAACTAATAGTTTAATATTTTATTGTGTGTTAATTATTTTAAAAGGCTTCTCCAGCTAACTGGACTATCCTAGTGGTCATCTCAGGTACGGTTGACCGGCTATTGACTACCGGAGCCGTACTATGGAGTCGGGCTTCACATATAATCTGATAGTCGGTTAACTATATAAAAAAAATTTAATAAAAAAATTTGTTATAAATGATAATAATTATGGATATAATTATTATTGATATACTAATTATTAATATACTAATTATTGATATAATAATTATTATTATTATAGATAATTATTACATACTTTTATATCATTTGTTAATTTAATTAAATCACAATTTGTATTATCATTATTATTATTATAAGTATTAGTATTATTATTCATATTAGTCGATAGCCTATGAATTGTATTCATAAGTAATTGTTTTTCTTTTTTACAATCAATTAGTTGTTGTCTTATTAGTTGATTATCGCCGGCAATGGTCTGTATGTCATCTCTGAGCCCATGGTTTACATTCAGCAAACTGTCCACACAATTATGATTATTATTATTATTGTATGTAATAATATTTGTATGATATTTACGGCATGTAATGATATTATATGGACATAGCTGTATGTGCTGGTCGTATGCATCCAATTGTAGCACCTGATGACATCCCTGTGCTCTGTAGGCATATATCAGCTTCAAGTTAGACAACATGTTTATCATTTGGTTTTAATTTTTTCCTATCATACGGACAGGTATTAGTTTTATTAACCAAACGGCGATACAATTTTGGCAAAATGTTTGACGACAACAAACGGTACGGTTCCCGAAATATACCGAAACATATACTACAGGTTAGTTCACATTTTTTCACTGGGGGGTTAATCTAGAAAACTGCTCAAACTGTAACCGGGCACTATTATTATTATTATTATTATTTAGCTAGCTAATATATTATTATTTTTAATAATAATACTGATACTGAATTATAAATTATTAAATTTAAAATTATAACTCTATTTAATACAATAAACTCAATATATCTATAATATATTTTTAAAACATAAAACTAAATGTCTTATAAATAAAATAATATTTATGTATTATTTACTAAAAAAAATTATACATAAAATAAATTTGAATTTATAATATATTAGTTATAAATATTACTTTAGTTTTTATAATAATTAATTAGTTTTGTAAAATTTAAACAAAAAACATATTTGCTTTTTTTACACATAATTTGTTTGCCATTTTTAAAATTTAACTAAAATATTAATAACAAATTTTTAGTAGTTTTTTAACATTTTTTATAATAATAATAATAATTACAATTTGGTCTTAGACTGTATTGAAATTATTGACCATGGTCAATATAATAACATTGATGGCAACAATTGGCGCATTTATATATATATATATATATTACTACTGCAATCGCAGGTGTCGGTGCTGTTTGCCTGACAAACCTGTTTATGGTATTGAAAATTATCATAGGATTACATTACCATAGTGTTATATAATTATAAAAACACAATTTTTTTCAATCAATGATAATAATAATAATATTATTAAACAAATTTTTTTTTTAATTAAAATTACTGTAGTTTATTTATTATGGATATAAATTATATAATACATTAAATATTAAAAATTGTTTAATTCAAATGTTTCATTATGATTGTACAGTATATTATTATTATATATATTCAAAGTATAATTTAAAAATATTTTTATTGTAAAAAAATAGTAATTATTATATAATAATAAAATTAAATTCAAGGTATTTTATGATTAATTGTAAATGCATACAGGTAGCGATTAATTAATTTAAATATTTTATTATATAATTTAAATTATTTTTTTTTATCAATTAGATTATTACTATAAATTATATTAGTTGTCAAAACTAATAGTTTAATAATTTATTGTTTGTTATTTATTTTCAAATATAAGGCAATTACATAATATAATCAACACATAATGAATTAATAATAATAATACACTTAATTGTGCATTATTAATAATAATTGTTATTATTAATAGTCTATTGATTTTCGTAGGCCATCAACACTAATGATAGCATATTATAAATTAGACTGTCCCAGTTTAATTTTTGATTATTAAACGATTTAATTGATATATCGGACGCAATTGATTTTAACCGTTCAACAATTACTAGGGCTTCATCTATTGACGTAGCATCTCTAACTAACCTCCTCCTTCCCCTCCCCCACCTCCCGGTGGTCTCTGATTCCTTCATTAATAACAACCTGTTTTCCAGATTAGCTACCCGAGCATCATAATTGTTACCGACTATTGAGGCAAAATAACAAATATGTATAATAGTGAATGTACCCTGTAACATTAATATAGCGATAAAATCAATATTATTGTAATCTTTAAATACAATCAGACATAGACTGCATGCACACTCCAGTGCACCACATATTAGGGCTGTCTGTGTGCATACGTTTAGATGTTGATTCAATTGACGCATTTGCACCCGAAGACGATTACAATATGATTGAATACTATAAAGCTGATCCATTTTTAGTAGACTACTACCAGCACCACCAGCACCTCGAACACCACCACGAGCACCACCAGCACCACGAGCAACACCAGCACCACCACCACTACCATCAGTGAATGTGTTGAATAATCTGTCAATTTTTGTCGATACTTTCAGACATAAATAGGCAGTTAGTGTCATGATTTTGAATCGTGTATTTGTTATTGGTATGATTATCAACATAATGATAATAGAAACCAATAGGCTTTCATTTAATATAAAATAACTGATCAATACTATCGACAATTCAAATAGTATTGTAAATAAAGCATTAACAGCTATAACACGTTTAGCATATTTGGTATCATCGGCACTGGTTATGTAATGTGTATCAAATGATTTGACCATACGATCAATAGCCGATCCCTTAGCCAATAATATGACTGATGTTACTAATGTGTGCAGAAATTCCATTAAATAACTAATCAAACAAAAATATCGTAACACTTGTGAGTTGAATACAATTTGATCTCTATTACGAGATATTATTATAAATAGCAAAAGAGATATTATATAAGCGATAAATAAAATGTTTATAGCTTTAAGAATATATCGCTTAATTGAGTTGTTGTTGTTGTTGTTGTTGTTAAATGCAAAATAACTATTACCAGTATATATAATAAAATTTTTAATATAGAGATAACCCGGATGTCTTAGTTCGGACATTGTTATTGTTGATTGTGGTAGTGGTAGTAGTAGTAGTGGTAGTGGTAGCGGTAGTGGAAGTATAGTGATAGAGGTGTCGGTTTCAGTGTAGGTGTCGTTGTAGATGTAGATTTAGGTGTTGGTGTAGGTGTAGGTATAGGTGTATGTGTAGGTGTTGTCAGATAAATGATAGCTAAAAATAATAATTAAATAATTTAATTTAGTAAATAATAATAATAATAAAAATACTGTTGTAGTAGTAATAGTACTAACTATAGTACTATAGTAACTATAGTAATATATATATATATATAGTGTATATACTGTATATATATATTATAAAATTTTTAGTCCTTTTTTATTACTAAATATATTGATTGATATAAAAACATTAATATATATATATATATTAATATATACAGTATTTGATGTGAACTGTTGTTATTATTTGTTCATTTATAAATTTAATAAATTTTAATATTTATTTTCTAATATTAATTATACTGTATTTGGAATGCTAAAGTATTTTTTTTGAAAATATATATTTTTTAATAAAAATTTTTGTTTAACTTAATGTTATTATTAAATTTTATGATAAAATTTATATTAATAAAATATTTATTGTAAATATAATAAAAAGACAAAAAATTATTGCGGGTGGGGTGGGGTGGCATGGGGTGGGGTGTACTTAATTGAGTAGTATATATACACCACCCTTGATATTAAAAAACAAAATTATTATTAAATATGTAAATTTAACTCTAAATTATTATAATAATAATATTCAAAAAATACTTTAGTAGTAGTAATAGTAATTGAATAACTATTTCACAAAAAATATTGTTGTTTTTATTATTATTTTAACTGTATATACATAGATATACACACAAACATAAACAATATTTATTTTCTAAATCATATTTCAATATATAATAATAATAATTATTATTATTGTAAATATATAACACAAACGATGCTATTGTTGTATTAATTATGCTATATTTTGTTTGCTAAAGTATTTTTTAAAATATATATTTAAGGCTCAGTAGTACAGTATAATAATAGCAATAATAATGAAAATAGTTTAGTAGTAGTAGTAGTAATAGTAATTGACTGACTATTTCATAAAAAATATATTATTGTTATCATTATTATTATTATAACAGTATATTATAGACATACAAACAACCATTAATAAGAAGTTTAATTAATATAATTTAATTACTTTGTAAATAGTTTAGTCAAACTTATATACAATAATAATAATAATTATTATTATTATTGTTGAAAATATATAATACAACCGATGCTATTATTGTCACAAACCAAATCTGTGACATAATTGACACAATGATATATATTTATATATATTTAGATATATTTTTTATATTTTTATTAACTATTTCTCTATAATATAGACTATTATTTATTTTAATATCATATTTACAAAATAAATATTTATATACTAATAAAATCTAATTGTATTAATAATGCTCAAAAGTTTAGCATAAATAACTATAAAATTATTATTATTTGTTCATTATATATATATATATATATATATAATCTGTGTTATATATACAGTATTGTAAAATACTTTATATAACGGTATAAATAAATGTTGAAATACTTAAAAAGTAAAAGAAATATTTTTATCAGATAAAGTATAAATTAATAAGCAATAGTTGAGATTTTTAATAACAAATTACAAAAAAATGATCCTTTTTTAAACTAGATAGATAAAATACAAAGTATTTTGTTCACATGTGATTCACATAAAATTTACTAAATATTAATTTCTTAAAAAACCTGGTCAAGCTAATTTATCTAATTATTGTTCAGATAACAATTAATAAGAAAATTATAAAATATGACATTTAGGACGTTATTTGACTAAATTTTTTTTAAAAAATCTTCCCCTTCCTTAATGTTGTTATAAATTAAATTAAATAAAATTTATTTTCATAAACCTCAAGTATTCTTTATTATTTTAAATTTTATTTGATTAAAATATCCATTATACTTTTTACGTATTTAAACATTTATTTGTGTGTCTTTATATAATTTACAGCCTGTATTATAAATATAATTCAATGTATTAATAAGCAAACTAACATTATTACTCTTTTTTTATTTATTACTATATTGACTGATATAAAAACTTTTATATTATAATATTATATATATTTTTTGCTTAATGTTATGTATTGTAAAAATTTTGTGATTAATATAGTATATTAATAAAATATATTTATTTTATTTTAATTATTACACTAATTTGTTTTAATATTGCTTAAACGTCAATAATAATAATTATTTGTTAAATTTATAAATGTAATAAATTTTTATATATTTATTGTCTAATATTAATTATATTGTATTTAAAAATATATATATTTATTAATACAAATTTTGCTTTTTACATTATTATTAAATTTTATGATAAAATTTATATTAATAAAATATTTATTGTTAATATAATAAACAGATAAAAAAATAATTATTGGGGGTGGGGTGGGG